TGAATCAAAGATCATTAGTTTATGAATTTTATTTCTATAGTAATATTCACAGATGTGTGACAACACTTAGAGTGAGTACAAAGTCATGCCTAGAGTTGAAGCCATGAGACTACATCATTGGAGAGCATTATGAGCAAAGAGCCTCAGATTGGTGCCCAGGAGTTAAGATCCTAATCTAAGGCTCTCCTCTTACTTTGTAGAAAACTAGTATTCTACAAAATAAAATTATTATTTGTCCTATTGATCTCAGATTTTGTGGGGAAAATGACTGTTTTGGTTATTGTAATAGATAAGTTCCCAAATTGTGTAGCTTTAAAACGCTGAACATTATGGATCTCTCATGACAGGTGAAAACACAGTTCTGATATTTAATGGTTGTATAATTGATCATCACGGGTTCAAATGTTTCCCTCTTGATTTACTGGTAACCTCAAAGAGCATTTCATGTCACATCTAAAGATGGCTGTTAAGCATTTGCCAGTAGATCTTCATTTCAACCAGTAGAAAAATGGAGGGGATTAACTAGATGACACAACTTTTCCCACTGAGGCCAAAATCTGGGAGAATTGCCTCTTTCATTTATATCCCATTTGGGTCACCTGCTTATAACTGAGTTTTGGATATGTATTCATGTTATTTGGTGCCCATATATCCAGCTAATAATGCATTTGTATAGAAGAAGCAAAAACCTAGCATTAGGCGGAAACCTGCCATCTCTGCTACATGGGCATCAGGATGGCAGTTAAAACCCTACCAGGTGCAGCTGATGAAAACAGGTGAACTCAGTTACTCTCCAAATCCTCAAGACTGTTGGAATATAATCTAATCAGATTTCTTCTTCCTAGTGGTCAGAACATCTTCCTGGTGGAGTGACAGCAATGGGAGTGGCTGATGATAACTGTGTGGTGATTGAAACATTCTTCTTTGGGGATAATGTTGTCTCTCTCGCTCTTCCATGCAGTCTATCTAGAGAAATGGGAGCTAGGGTAGTTCACCCATTCACACCACCGAACCGCTATGAATGATGACTGCCACTGAGTCATAAATCCTCTTTCCCTACACAGAGGATAAGCACTCCCCCTTACAGCCCTGGGAGGGAGGAGAGCAGTTGGTGACCAAAGACTGATTGACACTGAGTAGACGAGGTCGCTCCTTACTTCCAGATGGGATTGATTCAGAGCTTCCCTTAACACCAGGCTGAATTGAAGCTCACCTGCTGAGTTCATATCTCTTTTACCTCCATCTTGTCCTCCGGGAGCACTCCTATAATAAGCCACTTTCATAATTCCCTTGAATTATGTTACGTCGTTTCCAGGTTACCTGACGCAAGATGACTAATATTGCTACTATCTCTTCAAAATGGTTGTGCCAAATTAAACAGTTAATCCAAGGCCCAAACCAAAATCTGTAAAACAGAATGTCATTCCAATAGTTGAGGGAAGAGTCTCCAGGCAAGGGGCAAGCAAAGGCAAAAGCTCTGAAATGAAAGACCTTTGCAAATTCAGATATTTGAGATTGATACAATATGGCTGAAGATTGGGGAACAACAGAAAAGGATATTGGTTGAGGTTTTATAAATATGCAATAGTAAGACCAGATAAGACCTCAGAGGATATTTTCATTTTCTCTAATTGTAGTAGATTATTCTTGAAATGATTTCAATAGGAAAATATAGGGTTCAAAGTATACTTTTAGGATATTACTCTGAATTTGTGCCAAAAAAGGCTAGGAAGTGAAAGAAACAAAGTACTGGGTGTCCACACAGCAAGGAGAAGGAGTCATAAAGATTATAGTGTTAATGCAAAAAGTAAGAAGTATGAGTTCTAACACTTTGTGTATTTTCTATGACATTACAGAATACTATGAAATGTTATTTCATAGTATTTTCCTGGAGGAAGAGCACAGAAAGCATTGTTTGCAGAGATGCTGGTGAGGTAGTTCTGTGTTGGATCTCAGCTCTGATCACATGGCAGCAGCAGCTGCACTTCAAGACCAATGCTGGACACTCCCTCTAGGGAAGGCAGCTACTGGTGACCCAGGAGCCACTTTGGTCCAGGATCTAAGGTAGAGCAGCAAGCTTGTTCAGTCTGATGTTGTCTGGAGCCCACAACCCTGGTCCCCTGAGTCCCCAAGGTCCACTGACCTTAGCCCAGATGCCATTGGGGTCCTACTCTCTTCCTTCTCTATACCTCCACTCCCCCATGTTTATGGTGCCCCTCGTAAAGCATATATAAAATGGAATTTAGATTGGAACAAGCTTGGATTTATATATAGTCTACTGTTTCAAGAGTGATTAAATCCCAACAGGAAATAATTTTTTCAGAGCCCTCTTATGACTTACTTTAAAGAGTGTCACTTCATATATCAGTGGCTGATATTTCTGGATGGATAGATGTGACTCTCTGATCAAATCTTAGACACAGGCAGTTAATAATTTTACTAGAGGAAAATCCCAAATCCGAGTATTGCTGGAACACATCTTTCCCCCTTACCAGAATCTGCTCCTGAGAGAATGTATTGGTCATGGGACAATTACTGAGCTTCAGTCTCCCTCAAGACCCCAGAGAACGCTCAGGCTGTGGCTACCTGGGAAATAAATAATCACCACAATTACTTTATAGCAGGGACCGAGAATATTAGGGTCATTATTGATGCTAATGAAGAGAAACACCCTGTCTGCGCTCTGTTGCAGTTGGGGTACAAAAAGCTTGCTGGGGCAGAGGTAGGCAGCCTGTACACGAGCCTCTTACTATATTCAAAGCTTCCAAAAGGTCAGGCTCAAGTACTTAGGCAGATTATTATGTCACCTTCCTAGTGATGTAGAGGGTTGAAGAAGAGGCCATGGTCATTGGTGACGGTGACTAAGATGGACACAGGCAAGGAGGTAAGCTTCACGGTTGGGCGGGGCACAAACCAGTACAGCCCCTGGTGCTACACGGAATAATGCGCTAGGTGCAGCGAGGATATGAAGGTGAATAGACATGCTTTCATTCTTGGAAGTATTAGAATCAGCTAGAAAAGACCTAAGCACTTGACAAAGTAAAAGCAAATGTTGCCACCTGCACTGTTTGGAAGGAAGGAAGGTGGGAGTCTGAGCACCGTCCGGGATCCAGGCTCTCCTCTTTCTGGCTCAAGTGCTGCTCACCCTTCCCTCTCCCCAGCCCCCATCTGGGCTCCTGTCTGCATTTGCTGGGACTTGTTGCTGACAGCACGAAGAGCAAGCCCCTTCTGTCTCTTCTCCCTGCTCCTTCCTGCAGGGATGCTCTTGAGACACTGAGTCTCCTGGAGTCCTCCCACTACATGAATCTGTCCCTCTGTGACTACTGACCGCTAATTCCGAACGTGGTGTTAAATGGGGGCAATGAAGGTTAACATGGGAATTGTCAGAAGGTGCAGGAAGACGGAGAAGTCCTCCAAGGGATGTTTATTTTAAGATCCCAGAAATCAGAAAGACTTAATAAAAGAGAAGGGTGGGAGGCGGAGGTGCAGGGTGCTCCAGGCTGCAGGAAAGACAATTGCGAATGTCCAGAGATGAGGACAAGTGTGTGGGATTAAGGGGAGACTGTATTCAAGAGGCTGATAGCATCACAGTGATGCTAACAGAGCAGGCAGAGTGTCAGACTGATGATGCTGGTGAGTGGACAAGGCACAGGGAGACAGCAGTGTGGACAGGAAGTGATGAAGGGAACTCGGGAGACACATCTGTAAGATCCACCGCTAGAGAGGACAGAATTAGAATGGACAACCAGTTGTCCAATAGGAAGCCATCTGACACCAAACATCAGTCCTTCTTGGCCTTTCTCTCCTACTGAGCATAGGACACTGGTGCCTGGCATGAGGAGTCACCAGAGCAGAGAACAATCCAGATCCTGCTGATATATTTGCCCCAAGACCATATCAGTGTGTGGTCTTGGGGCAAATTCACTCAGCCCCTTTGAGTCTCAGCTTCCACAGTTAGCACCAGATGGTAACAATGTCTCTGGGGAGCATTCTAGGTTAGGGTGCTGAGAAGGACCCACTAAAATAAGTTCCTTTCACACTGTTCTCACTCTGTCATTTTTTTCCTCAGCTTGGAACCTCTAGCAGAAAATATTTTTTAGGAAATGCTCATTAGTCAGGCTGACAAACTTGCCCTGAACTGGACTCTCAGGTCTGGGAGAGTCAAGCATCCAACCAGGTGTGCTGGGATCTTCCCCGACCTGACGACAGGACACAACACTCAGAAGTCTGCATCCTGGTGCCTCTGTCCAGTCACTGGGGTCTAGGCTCTTTCTGTTTCAAAGCATTGTCTCCCCTCCTCCCCTCTCTCTGTCCTCTCTGCCCCTCCATGGTTACTGCCTGTCACTCCTCAGAGGTCACTCCACTCCCCGCGCCCCTCCCGCGTAATGGAAAGAGCATTGAAAGTAGAGGTGCAGTGCAGGCTGTCCACTCTGTCTTCCTTTCAGTCGGGAAGCATCTCCCCAGCTTCCTGGGGATGCGGTCCTCCCTCTTTTAGAGGTGATGGTGATGGGGACTCCGCCAAACAGAGCCTTACACCCCACAAAGGCTGGTTTTCCGTTTTACCTTGTGATGTTGCAAATTGTTACACCTTTTAACACTTTTTCAAATAGCTTTCAATTAATATTATATTGTATGCTTCTTCCTGTATTTTTTTTAAAGATTTATTTATTTTTATACAAGAACCGGGGTACAGGCCAGATGTACGGGAGGGTGAGAGGATTCACCAGAGAGATTCCATGTGGGATTCTCACCTGCCGGCCAGGATCAAACCCACACTGCAGAGGCTGCGGACAGCTTCACAGTGCAGTGCTCAACCGCCTGTGCCACCTTTTCCCTGTATTACTAAACCAACTTCAAACATCATTTTAATGAGGAATGGTTATCTTCCCCTTCTATCCATGCACACATCCCCTTACCCTCCATTCCTCTCCTCTCCTCTCCAGCCACTCTGGCCACTCTCATGTCCTGAGCATTCTGGGCCTCTTTTTGCCTCCATTCAGATGCAGCTTCCTCCAGCAAGCCCTTCCTGACCAACACAGCTGAACTAAATATCCTCTCCTATGGCTTCCAGTGTGGCCCTCTCTTCCAGGAGGCTACATGTATAAACTGAGTTTCTAGTCTGCCTCCTCCACTGTATGAGGCAAAGGTATAGTGAGTGGTGTTCAAGTCACACAGGAACTTGCTGTCATGGAGGAAAAAGGACCAAGCAAAAGTAAGTACATACAAGAGAATCTTAGTAAGTGGAGACTGCTGTGGATTTAATAACCATAATAACATGCTGGATAGTAATTTGGGTGTCAGCGTGCTGAGGCTTAAAATTTGAGACTCAGCAATTGAGTGCCACTGCATTAGTATTTCAATTGGGGAGGATTTGTATTTTTTTTTTTATTTTATGCATACAAGAACCGGGGTGTAAGCCGGAGGTTCTGGGGGGTGAGATGATTCACTAGAGATGAGTGGGGAACAAAACGGGGATTCACTGAAATGCACTGCTGAGAGGAGTAGCGGGGGAGACTGGAGAGGTCTGCTATGCCACGTGGGTTAACTCCCTGGCTGGGATGGAACTCAGGCTGCAGTGGCTGGGGATATCTTGATAGTGCTGAGACTTTAACCCTTGTGCTACCAAGGAGGTCCAGGATTTGAATTTTCATGACAGTAACTTCTTGTTAGTTAAGAACATGGTGATTGTATCTTTCCATTTTTCTTATCTTTGTTGATTTCCCTTAGTAAATATTAGGTTTTCTTCTTATGGTTTACTTTATGGACTGGTTACTGTTGCATAGGTTTGTTGTTGCTGCAATGAATTTTTTTCTCTTCCTAACTTATTTTTACTAACGTGGAGAATATCTATTATAAATGTTTACTTATCCTTTCCAGTTTTCTCTATATTAATAGTAACTATTTCCTGAGATTATTACACTGTTCCTGGCACAAATATCACTTGGTAACTTTTGTGGAATGAATGAATATCATTCTTCTAGTACTAGAAATGGCTTCTTCTCTTTCTTATGGCAAAATTCTTTGGAGAGAGAAAAAGCTTTGAAACTATTGAGATATGAGAATGATTTGCCTGGACATGGTCAAAGATAAGATCATAGGATAGTAGTCTAAGAATTTGTATTATACTAGAAAGTGAAGTTAAAATAAGATAATACAACTAACTTGGGAGTTGTTCAGGAGAGTAAGACTCATTATATGTTAATTATTATTTATAATTGTTCAGTAATTATTCAAAAATTGGACATTCCAGGAGATGACAGTCTTTCATCCTTCAAACATTACAGGCACAATCACTGCAGTATCATAAGTTTTCAAATGCAGGACTTCCATTTTAGTACAACTTGTACCAGACTCATACATATTTTGCTTCTTTTTCCCCTTGGGTGAATCTTGGTTTTCCATTATCATTTCCGTTCTTTTTCTTTTTATTTCTGTCTCACATATCTGAATTTTTGGGACTATCTTAAGTGTGTTTTATAAAACAGATGATCTTTTCTGGAGTCTCCATGTTAGCAATATCTGCACCCTATGTAGATTTTGTAAATCTATATTTTTATGCTATAGTATTTGCAAGTGCATTATAAACTTTATGACATCATATCCCTAAATATCAACTCCAAAAATATATACAGGTACATCTCTAAGAAATTATTTTCTACATGTCCTTAGTAGCATTTTCACACTAATCCAATTAATAAATGTACCTTATTATTATACACTTCCAGTGTATATTCACATTTCTTCACTATTTTGTAAATGTGTCCTTTCAACTGGTTTGTCAAGATAGGAATCTAATAGGGGATCTTGCATGTGACAGGACCATGAACCCTCTTGTATCAATAATTTATTCATCTCTACCAATCCATTTTTTCACAATAGTGACTTATTGAAGAGATTGTCCCAGTCTCCACTTTCTCAAAGTCAAGTTATTATGCGCATCACCTGGAACTGGTCAGAAATGCAGATTCTTAGGTGCTTCTGCAGTAGCACTGAATGCGAATCTGAATTGACTTGTATGACCACAATGATTATATGCACATTAATGTTTAGGAAGACTCCTGTAGGGTGTCTCACAATTATGTGTTTGGCTGTTTTGCATGATTTTCCGAGGCATACAATTTTCATTTTCTTTTGTTTTTTTAAGATTTATTTATTTATGCTTACAAGAACTTGGGTATAGGCCAGAGGTGTGGGAGGTGAGAAGATTCACCAGAAACAGAGTACGGAGCAGAACAGGCAGATCTACTGAAATACACTGCTGAGGGGAGCAGCAGGTGAGACGTGAGAGGTCTGCTGTGCCATGTGGGTTAGCTCCCTGGCCAGGGATCAAAATCATGTTTCAGTGGCTGGTGACAGTCAGATAGTGCCGAGACTTAACCCCTTGCGCCACCAGGGATGCCCATGATTTGCTTTTTCAGTAGCTAGGTGAGGGTCTTCCTGCACTTCAGGGGTGCTCACTTAAATATTAAATATTAAACCTTAAATGCTTGTTCTATTTCAGTTTAGTTGTCTTATCTCGAAAATCTACTTATACTATAGGCATAATATTGTGGATGTTTGGTGCAAGGATTTGTCTATGAAAAGATCAGTGAAGTTTTATGTAGTAAAGGATACTTGCATAGGCAGACATGTAGAACTTTACCTTTCAGAGATAGTTAGAAAACTCACCCATGTGTGATTGCCTCATTCATTATGGAGAACATTCACTCCAAACACCTGATATTTCTTTCCAAACTACCAGTCCTGGCCTCTGTACTGGTTTATTCAGTCCTGCCCAGAGTGAGTTATCTGACTGCTTTATTTTGGGCTTCAGCTTTTATTTCTCATTACAGTCAGGAAGCCCACTTTTGCTTTGATTGTCCAGATTTTATATTTTGTAAGGCTAGGCTTGTCCCCCTATGAGAGAGGTCCATGTTGTTCAACAAAGTCTATGAAAGGGGAAATAGATTTAATTAAAAAAAAACTATAAAAAATAAAAACTCAGTGACAGCTCAGGAACATTCTCTAACCTATTATTTTTTAGTAACAAAGGTGATTTCTTTTTCTCCATCTGAATGACCAACCCTAACTTGTTTCCACATATGAGGAAGGAACAGGGTTTTATGGTGCTACTCAAGCACTAACATCAAATTGGAATCAACATTAGTTGCTCCTTATTGTATACAGAATAATGTTCCAGACACTCCTCAAAATCCCCAAATTTGGCCCTCAATTCTCTTACATCTTTATCTCAGTCTACAATCCCTCCTCCACCTCATGTTCAGAGCTCCTACTCCCTATCCGTGACCTGTCCAGGCTCGACTGCCTGGCTTTTGTTCAAAACTTTGCCTCAATATGCTGCCCACCTCCACTGGCAAGATCCTGAACTACATTTAGGACTCAAAAAATCTTCCTTTTCTACTGCAGTCTGATTTTTATCAGAAGAGAGTGTATGTGTGTGTTCAGAAAACTGAAGACTTATCTTTATATATCTTTACTAAATAATTGCTTGACTGTTGTATTTGTTCCTGACAGATTGGATAATATGAAACTGTATCTTTAGAATATTGACTTTTGGTCATGATAGATTAAAACAGGTAAACACTGGCCTATGAGAATGATTTGAAGGCAGCTGCATGGGTTGAGAACACTGAATCAAAATGCTATAGTATTTTAGTATATTCAGTTATGTCTGTCCCATTGGATTTGAATTTGTCTGAGGGTAAGATTACTATTATGTTATTTACCTCACCCAGTGCCAAGTTCAGAGTTGATACTTAATATCTATGGAATTAATAAATGAAAGATTCATACTTTCCTAAAGAAAAGAAAACCACAGTACAGAAATTTGGGACAGAGAATAGTGTAAGAAATGAAACAATGACTCTATTTGAATTCTCTTTATTATTACTCTTAGCATTGCAATTAGTAGGTTTCAATAAAAATATTCAATTGTTCTAGGAGGTGATCTGTACATCTACATTGTGGTCATTCTTTCTTCTCAAGAGTATGGAGAACGACGTATTAATCCATCATTTACAGTGAAATTATTTACAGAATTTTAGTGAGTCTCAATCAAGTATCCATGTTGACTTCTGGGATTATGGAAGAAAGGAACCAGACCAGCAGTTTTGAGTTCCTCCTCTGGGGACTGTCAGATCAGCCAGAACAACAGCACATGCTCTTCCTGGTGTTCCTGTGGATGTACCTGGTCACTGTGGCTGGCAACCTGCTCATCATCCTGGCCATTGCCACCGACACACGTCTCCACATGCCCATGTACTTCTTCCTTGCCAGCCTGTCTTGTGCAGACATCCTTTTCGTCTCCACCACCGTGCCCAAGGCCCTCATGAACATCCAGACCCAGAGCAAATCTATTTCCTATGCGGGATGCCTGAGTCAGCTCTACTTCTTCTTGACTTTTGGGGACATGGACATCTTTCTCTTGGCCACAATGGCCTATGACCGCTACGTGGCCATCTGCCACCCTCTCCACTACACGATGATCATGAGTCCCCGCCGCTGCACCATCCTGATCACTGTCTGCTGGACCCTTACAAATATTGTTGCTATGGTCCAGACCTTACTCACACATCGACTTTCCTTCTGCTCTAACAGAATTATTCCTGACTTCTACTGTGATGTGGAACCCTTGATAAGGTTGTCTTGTTCTGACACTAAGATCAATGACCTTGCCGTCCTCTTGCTTGGGGGAGCAGCCAGTTTAGGTCCCTTTACATTCATCCTGATCTCTTATATCCGCATTGTTACAGCCATTCTCAGGCTCCCCTCTGCCCAGGGGAGGCGCAAGGCCTTTTCTACCTGTGGGTCGCATCTTGTTGTTGTTGCCCTGTTCTTTGGAACGGTGATCAGGGCTTATATTTTCCCCTCAACCTCTCCCTCCTCCAACTCAGTAGAAAAGAATACAGCAGCTGCTGTAATGTACACAGTGGTGACTCCTCTGCTAAATCCCTTCATTTACAGCCTGCGGAACAAGGACATGAAGGGAGCTTTGGGGAGACTTCTGAGGGGGCAAGTCCCCTTTTTGAGAGGCCAGTAACTTTGCAGAGAAACTACAGGTATGTTCTGTGTCATCAGTGAGAAACTTCAGAGTAATTTTTTTCTCAAGTGTCCTATTTCTGAATCCCACATGGGCCTTATATATCCCCATGCTCAATTCCCCAGTGTGGGTTGGTTATTTTTGAGGAGATCAAGTCTTGCATTTTGTTAATCTATTAAGAGTTGCTTATTTACTTTAGCATAATCTGTTAAGAGTTGCCTATGTATTTACTTATTTTATTTCACCTTAGTTTTATTTTACTTGAAATAACTTTTCACAAGGAGAAATGTCTTTTGCAATGTTTACATTCTTTAAGTCTGAGTAGCCTTTTAAGCTAGTTTTAAACTCAGTCGGTAAGGTCATGGAAGATGTATTAATGATCATAATGTTAGCAAGAAAGTTCAATATTGGATGGCAGATAGTTTACAACAGTAAGTGGAAAGTATATTTTTCCTATAATAATAATAATATCTAAACAGTTATAGTCTCGAAGTTATCAGTCAAAAATCCTTATAAACATTAAAAGAAGGCACTCAAAAATACAGGCATGTTTATTTTTAATAAATAGCTTTATGAGCAATATATAATGAAAAGATAAATCAATTTAAGTTCCATATTATTCTAACAATTGTTTTCTTTCTTATCTGCCCACCTCATGGCTGATTGTGAATGCTTGTTGTCACATTCACAAAAAGGAAACTTGTGTCTTCTCAACCTTCTTTTTCTTGAATGAATGAATCCTGCTTCAATAAAGACAAAAACATACTTCAGATATATTTTTGCAGTAGTGAAGATATGGGAAACAACCTCAAACTCCATTGATTGGTGAATGAGTACAAAATATGTGATACAGACACACATACACACACATAATGGAATAGTCGTCAGTCATAATAAAATGAAAATTTTCCATTTGTGACAATATGAATGAAACTTAAGGATCTTGCACTAAGTGAATTAAGTCAGATGGAGAATATATTTCCACTCATATGTGGAATACAGAAAAAGCAAAAGATCAAATAAAATAAAAGAGAAACAGATTCTTAGATAGAGGATATATGTATTGTTACCCGATGACTATGGAGGTGACACAGGTAAATTGGGTGAAGAAGGTCAGTTGCATGGTGATTTATGGAAAGTAGACTTTAGATGATGGTCATGAGTTAGTGTGTACATACATAGAATTATAATCCTGTAAATCTGAAGCTACTACAAATTCATAAATTGATCTTACCTCAATAAAAATGTGTTTTAAAAAGATAATTTGGACTTGCAATTTTTATTTATAGAGTATAAAATTCACAATTCCATACCAAGACTGAAAATGAATGCAAAATGGCTGTCAAGGGTGAGGGCATGGAACAAACTCATTGAAGAGCTTCATGAGAAAAACCTCTGGATGTTACCCAGGAAGCTACAATCAGCCAATTTAGATGAGTCTACTCTCCTCTTCTGTGAAATGAAGTTTTGGTGTTTGAGCTTCCCACCTAAGTGGAAATTTGTGTGGAAAATGACAATGGTTCAGCAATTATGAGAGAGGAATTCCCCAAATTGTAGCTTTAAAAAATGAGACATTGGCGACATTGTTGCATAAGGATGATGGAGAGGTGACCTGAGGACGACAGGGAAAAGGGCTGACAGAAACTCTGAGCAGACTCGCATGTGTCAGGATGGCAAACCACCTGGGAGGGATGCCCTGTACTTGTGCCATCCTTGGAAGTCTCCTCAGTCGTTACTTAATGCAGCAGATATTCATGAGGACAGGCATGTCCGGATAAGCCTGAGGGCTCACATACATGGCGTGCGGGGCAAGGTCTGTTTTCTCTGACTAATGATAAAACACAGATGTCCTTGTTCACAATTCCTATATAATCATGCTGAGAAAAATAAAGAATCACTGCTTGTTGCTGACAGCAGTCCCCCATCTGGTGTGTCCTTTGCAATCGAGTCCCAGGTCTCAGAGGCCCCTTGAGGCTCACAGATATCAACCAAATGGCAACAAAGGAGTTCTTTCCTTCAATCCAAGAGGGACACCTAACAGAAAGACAATACACCCAGAGTGTGGAGGTTGGGTGAACCTAGAGTCCTCTTTGGACCTCAGAGACCAACATAGATTGCATGGAGCAGATCCAGAGGGAGCCGCATTTTATTGAAAGGAAGTGTGTGAAGAGAAAAGCCTGAAGGCTGTGGACTGGGGTGTAAGACATGGAGAGGAGGGCCTCCTTGTACCAGTGTCCCCAAGGATGTGGGGACGGGGAGAGTGAAATGTTTTGAAAGCTTACACCCTTGATTATGGGAGAATGTTGGTTTGTTTTATTGACATACACTGGTTTACCATACTTTATAAGTTTCAGTGGCATAACTTAAATAGCCTCAACAAAGCACCTCAATAAATGATATATATCACACTACTTCTACCACAACAGCTCTAATACCATTCGCCACTATCGTTGATCCCCACCCTACTCATTTCTCCCACCCTCCTCCTTGCCCTTCTGGTAACAACCATTTTGTTGTGTGGCCAAGTCGTTGTGTTGTATTTTATTTATTTCTTTATATTCTACATGTTAGTGAAATCATTTGGTATTTGTCTCTCTCTGATTGAATTTGCTTAGCATAATCACCTCAGGTTCCATCTATGTTGTCACAAATGGTAAGATTTCACTGGTTTCTTTTTAACAGCTGAATAGTATTCCATTGTGTATATAACACACATCTTGTATATAAAATGTGTGTTTTTATCCAGTCATTTGTTGATGATCATTTAGCCTGTTTCCATGCCTTGAATATTGCAAATAGTGCTCCAATGAACATGGGCATGAATATGTTTTTGAATTATTATTTTCATGTCCCTTGGGTAGATATCCAGAAGTAGAATTGTTGGATCTATTTTCAATTCTTTGAGGAACCTCCCTGCTGTTTTCCATAAGGGCTGTAATGTGATGGTATCAATAGCTGTAACATACAAAGGAAAACTCCTTGGCATACTCAATAAATTTTAAGATGATAAAAGGAGGACTCTTGAAACCAAAAAGTTTGAAACCTGCTAATATGAAGACATTGGGAAAGGACAGTGTAACTCAAACAAAACAAGAGAGAAGATCATTTGAAACAGCTTTTTAAAAAACATGTTTGTGAGATTTGCCAAATGATGTAATTCATTATTTTTATCATTATTTGAGGTAAATAATGAGATTTGTAGCAGTTCTAACACATTGTATATATTCTATGACCTTATTTCACAGTATTTTCCTGAAAGAAGAGCACAGAAGCATAGGCTGCAGACATGCTGGTGAAGTGGGTCTGTTTTGGATTGCATCTGACCACATGGCAGCAGCTGCACTTCAATGACCAATGCTGGAAAGTCCACCCTGGAGAACATCTGCTGGTGCCTGGAGCCACTTTCACCCAGGATCTAAGGTAGAGCAGCAAGGCTGTTCAGAATATGATGTTTTCTGGAGCCCATGGTCCCTGGTGCCCCAGAGTTCTCAAAGTCTTCTGACCATAGCCCATATGCCATTGGGGTCCTACTCTCCTCCCTCTCCTCACCACCCCCATGCTTATAATGACCTTTATGAAGCATATGAGAAAAAATGCGCACTAAATTGATAATGGCATTGGTTTCCTACATTTTCTACTGTCTCAAGGAAGGATTTCCTCCTCATAAGAAACTAATTTTTGTGAAGACTTTTAGTGACTTAATTAAAGGATGTCATTTCACATTACCAGTAGCCATAGGAGATATTTTTGAAATTTAGTTCAACCTATGGAACAGCTAGTTAATAACTTTTTAAACAGGAAATCCCAGTACTATTGGAGCACATCTTTCCCCCTTCCAGAACTGCTCCTGAGGGAATATATAGGGCATGGGACAATTACTGAGCTTCCATCTCCCATAGGATCCTTGAGAGACTCATACTAAGGCTACCTGAGAAATAAATAGCACAAGTTCCCTTATAGCCTAGGGCCGAAAACCCTGGGGTTATTCTTGAGGTCAGTGAAGAGAAACCCCCTGTATCCCACCCTGCTGCTGTTAGGAAAAGATGCTGCAATAGAGGCAGACAATCTGCACATGAGCCTGTTATTATGTCCTGCTTCAGAAGCAGGACAGTCTCTGAGTACTCAGGAAGGCCATTATGTTAATACCCAATGATGTAGAGAATTGAAGAAAAGGCAAAAGATCATTGGTCATGGTAGCTGAGATGGACACCAACGGGAAGGTAAGTCCCACGGCTGGGATGAGACATAAGCCCCGGGGTAGGCACAGCAAACACAGACACACATGTCCCAATGCAGTCAGGATGTGAAGGGAAAAAGGCATGTTTTTCATTTCGGAAGTGTAAAATCAAGCAGGGAAAAAAAGACCTTAGTGTTTGATAAAGAAAATGAATGAAATGTAGACATGGTTTAGGAGGAAGGATGATGTAAGTCTAAAGTCTTTTTCACCAGATGACAAGAGATTCTGCAGGCAGTTTATAGGAGTCATCAAATGAGGGGCTCAGGAAAGAGGTGATGGAGAAGAGCAGACAAGGAGGATCCCTGCAGGCTGGTGTGTCCAGGAGAGCTTCACAGACAAGGAGAGTGAAAGGGATTGAGAGCAGGGGTGGTGAGAGAAGCACTTCTCTTCACACACTGAAAATCCCGGTATGAATCTCAGGATGACTGAATTTCATATTCTAACTGCTGAGGGGAGACTCAGAAAGTTGGGCACTCTAATAAAGGGAAGTCTCTGTTTGGACAGAGCAATGTCTTCCTATGGGATTGATCCGTGGCCTTAGGTGTTCTCGGGTTTGGGTGGGAAACGAGAATGTCTTTTAATCTCTTCCTCTATTTCAATGAAAGCTTGTAGTTGGTCATTTTACCCAGTTTGCAGACTTACAATGTTCTGGACTTTTGAACATAGGATCGGTGGTCAGTACTTATTTAATCATCATACATAAAATCAGGAAAACTTCCTTTTTGTTTCTAATTACCTTTTCTGACCAAAACTCCAATTTAGCAGATCTGACAATAGCAATCTCTGCCTTATACTTAGTATTATTTGGTAGAAATACCTTGTTCCAGCCTTTCACTTTAAGTCTGTCTTTAGATCAAAGCCAGATTTCTTGCATGTGTAATATATTTGGGTCATGCTTTTTTATCATTCTGTTATTTTGCCTTTTTGTTATTTTGCTTTTCTTGTATCTATAATTTTATGTACCTTAAAATGATTTCAGTATTGTTCATTCTCCTTTGAGATCTTAAGTTTTCATTGAAAAATGACTGTTCAAATTTTTTACATAGCTTCTCAGGTCCTATTTTATATCATCCTCTTGTCTACAAAATTATTATCTAAGTTTCTTTATTTCTCCTTTTGAATTTTCTTTTATAAAACCTGAGTTTCATTAAAAATTTAAAATTCTTAAAGATATACTATACTTGAACTTGTCCTTCATGAAACACTTTCCTAGGGAGTATTTCCTGATGAAATGCTTGAATATCAGGGCATTCTTTCTCATGATATTTCTTTAAGTCCTTTTGAATTCAAGAAATTATTGCAGTACTGCTGACACAATACATCAAATAATCTCTGTGTAATATGGGAATATAATACTGTTCATTTGCAGTGCTATCAGAGAAAAGTCATAAAAATTCTGTACGCAAATTATTGTGGATGTTTGCTGTTAGGACAACCTTACTTAATTGGAAGGATAAGTGAACTTTTATGTAGTTGATGACTTTCATGTTGCAATGTGGACCATTTTACCATTAGAGATACTAGAAAACACATCCTTTACAATTTCCTACAATCCCTCCTCCACCTCATACCCAAGCAAGCTCCTACTCACTGTCTTTGACACTCTTGTTTGGGTTTGCTCTGTTGTTTGGGTTTTGTTCAACAGTTTAACTCAATATGCTGCCCACCTCCATCTGGCAAGATCTTGAACTACATTTCTGTCTCAGAACGCCTTCCTTTTCTACCTTGGGCTATTTGGTAGAAGACGTGTGCATATGTGTGACACTCATGTGTGTGTATATCCAATCAATTTTTGAGATTTTGAAGAATAGGGATTGTGTTTTCTTCTTTGTTATTACAGGTAACATGAAGAGTTATCTTTACAAGTCTTTTTCTAACTGGCTATTTGATTGTTATATTAGTTTCCAACAGAATTAGTAAGATGAAACTCTATCTTCAGACTACTGTTTTTCAGGGAATATAATTCAGTCTGAAGTCTGAGAGTAATTTGCAAAGAGCTGAATGGATGGAGAACCATGAAGCAAAAATTTATAGGATTTTGGTGTAAACGGTTATGCCTGTCCCATTAAACTGAAAATATCCAGGATAGAGAATACCATCATCTGTTTTTCCTGGATCACATAAAACACTATATTAGAAAGAGTTAGTACTTCATATATGGAATGAGTGAATGGAAACTTCATGACCCATGGGGAGGACTGAAGAGAAAGAATATACAACCAAGAAAAATGGGAGAGAAAGGAGTATAGAAAATGAAACATGAAATCTCTTAAAAAAATCTCTTAAATTGTGTCTCCCATACTTCCTGGCACATTGTAGTAAGTAGCTTTCAATAAAACATACTGTATATAGTTCATAGTTATGATCTATAAAAATACACTAAGGTAATTCTTTTTCATTTCAGTGTACAAATAATGGCATATTTATCAACCATCTTGAGAAACATGTCTAGCAGATTTTAATGGGTCTTGATCAAGGTCTCTTTCTGTGATTTTGAAGTCATGGCAGAAGGGAATGAGACCAGCAGCTTTGAGTTCCTCCTCTGGGGACTGTCAAATCAGCCAGAGCAGCAAAGTGCCCTCTTCCTGGTGTTCCTGTGCATGTACCTGGTCACTGTGACTGGCAACCTGCTCATCATCCTGGCCATTGCCACTGACACACGTCTCCACATGCCCATGTACTTCTTCCTTGCCAGCCTGTCCAGTGCCGACATCTTTTTTGTCTCCACCACTGTGCCGAAGGCCCTCATGAACATCCATACCCAGAGCAAATCTATTTCCTATGGAGGATGCTTGACCCAACTCTACTTCTTCTTGACTTTTGGGGACATGGACAGCTTTCTCTTGGCCACAATGGCCTATGACCGCTTCGTGGCCATCTGCCAACCTCTCCACTACACAATGATCATGAGTCCCCGCCGCTGCACCATCCTGATCACTGTCTGCTGGATTCTTACAAATATTCTTGCCATGCCTCATACCTTTCTCATGCTACGACTTTCCTTCTGCCCCAATAAAATCATTCCTGATTTCTTTTGTGATCTGGTACCACTGCTGAAAGTATCTTGCTCTGACACTAAAGTCAATGAGCTTTTGCTCTTCTATTTGGGAGGAGCAGTTCTAGTAGTCCCCTTTATACTCATCCTGATCTCTTATATTCGCATTGTTTCAACAATACTCAGGTTTCCCTCGGCCCAGGGAAGGCGTAAGGCTTTCTCTACTTGTGGGTCCCATCTTGCTGTTGTCGCCCTGTTCTTTGGGACAGTATTCAGGGCTTACCTGTTCCCCTCATCTTCTTCGTCCACCTCCGTAGAAAAGGATACAGCAGCTGCTGTGATGTACACAGTGGTGACTCCCCTGCTAAACCCCTTCATTTACAGCCTGAGGAACAAGGACATGAAGGGAGCTCTGGGGAGACTTTTCAGAGGCAAAGTCTCCTTCTTGAGGGGCCAGTAACTTCTGCGCAGTAACTTCTACAGTTGTGTTCTCTGCTTCCAGTGAAGAATTTCAGAGAAATTTCTACCTCAAATGTCACATTTTTAAAGCTCACATGTGCGCTTCCCTTCCTGAATCTCCACTATAAGGTCAACATTGTTTAGGAAAATCAACATTTTGCATCAGGCTTTAAAAATAATCAATTGAGTTTTGTGTTTAATCATTCATTTTACCTAATCTAAAAAGGAGTGACAGTGCAATGTTCATATTTCAGAGTCTATACAGTGAGTCTTTTATTCTTGTTTATCAAAGCTCAATCAGTATAGTCATGGAAATTGAGTTAATGACAAAATATTACATGTGAGGTCAATATTGAAAGGCAAGGAATTTATAAGTTGAGTAAACAAGAATATTTTTCATTCAAAAATTGGGAATTATGTAAATACTTGTTGCCTCAAGTTTACAAGTCAAAAATCTTTGCAACCATTAAAAAAAGCTCTGAAAAATATAGGAATTGTTTTTGCTAACTTCACTGAATTGATTTATGAACAATTGATAATGAAAAGATAAATAATTGTAAGTCAAATATTGTGTAACTAGTGTACAGATAATCATTAACCTTCTTCCTTATTTGTGTAAACCATGTCTGACTGTGAATACTGGTATTCACGGTTGCAATAAAGAAATCTTGTGTCTCTTAAGGTTCCTTCTGCTCACATTTGTATCCCCCAGTTCATCCAAGCCTGAATCAAAGATAGAGTTTATGAATTTTATTTCTGTAATAATATTCACAGTTTTGTAACAACACTGAGAGTGAGCACAAAGTCATGCCTAAAGTTGAAGCTATGAGACCACATCATTGGAGAGCATCATGAGAAAGCCCTGGATTAGTGCCCAGGAGTTGAGATCCTATCTAAGACTCTCACTTACTTTGTAGACTTTGTAGAAATCTAGTATTCTACAAATTAAAATTATTTTTTTGTTCTATTGATCTCAGATTTTGTGCTAAAAATGACTGTTTTGGTTATTATAATAGTTAAGCTCCAAATTTGTGCAGCTTTAAAACACCGAACATTATGGATGTCTCAAGACAGGTGAAAGCACAGGTCTGATATATTGGTTATATAATCATCACGGATCCAGATGTTTCCGTCTTGGTTTACTACTAATCTCAAAGAGCTTTCATGTCACATCTCAAGGTGGCTGTCAAACTTCTGCCAGTAGATCTTCATTTCAACCAGTAGGAAAAGGGAGGGGATTAACTGGAGGACACAACTTTTTTCCTGCTGAGGCCAAAATCTGGGAGAAGTTGCCTCTTTCATTTATCCCATTTGGGTCACCTGTTTATACCTGAGTTTGGGATATGTATTCATGTTATTTGGTGCTTATATACCCAGCTAATAATACTTTTGTATAGAAGAAGCAAAAACCTAGTATTAGGGGAAAACCTGCCATCTCTGCTACATGGGCATGAGGATGGCAGTAAAAAGCCTACTAGGTACAGCTGATGAAAAAAGGTAAACTCATGGGAACTCACTCAGTCACTCTCTAAACCCTCAAGACTGTTGGAATATGATAACCAGATTTCTTCTTCCTAGTGGTCAGAACGTCTTCCTGGTGGAGTGACAGCAATGGGAGTGGCTGATGCTAACTGTGTAGTGATTGCAACATTCTTCTTTGGGGATTATCCTGTCCCTCTCCCTCTTCCATACAGTCTATTTAGAGGAATAGGAGCTAGGGTCTGACCATGGACTTTTCTAAATATCTAGTCCCAAACAAGGTAAGAATATACCTGTCAAATTCACCTAATATCTGAGAGTACAAACAAGATAAAAATAAGTGAACAACTATGCTACCTGGATCTAAATGATGGCAAGTAGTTAGAATATAAAAGAAGCTTGATGAATATACTTTAAGGAGGTTATTGAGAATATCATGTAAAAAACAAAATGGAAATATTAGCAATTAAAAAATGGCAGTTGAAGTATATAATTCATAGATGAGATAAATAACATATAGGTAAAGATAGGTGAGCCAGACTGTCAGATATTGTAACTCTTTTAAAGGCAGCAGAAAATGAAGGGAAAATAATAAGAAAGACAGAAGAAATAAACAAAATTTCCAATACCTAGAAAATTAGACTCCCAGAGACAGTGAAGGCAAGGGAAAGAAATATTTCAAGAAGCAATCATGACTGATTTTCCAGAAATGTATTTAAACAACTTCAGAATGATAGACCCCTCTAAACAAAAGTCATCAGAAAAAAAATCTCAACACAATGTAGTAGAATTTAGGAACACACAAAGTGGAAAAAATTTGAATGTTTCCTAAGAGAGGGGGTCACATACAAAGAGCAATTATAGGATTGAAATCGGCTTTCTCAACAGCATATTAAATGTAAGAAGCTAAGTAATATTTAACTTGTAAAGAAAATGATTTCAAATATAAAAATTAGTGGTTAGCCAAATAGTCACTTAAATTTAGAATTGTTCTCCATTTTACAAGGCCTAGAGAAAGACATTGCTTGCAAAAACACCCTTTTTTCAAGAAAGAAGGAAAACAGGTCCAAGAAAATGATTTGAGAGCCTTGGGAGTAAGACAATAACATAGCCAAGTTTTGTTTTTTTTTTAAGATTTTTTTATTTATGCATACAAGAACTGGGGTACAGGCCAGAGGTCCAGGGGTGGGGGGAGAGGATTCACCAGAGACAGAGTGGGGAACAGAACAGGCAGATCAACTGAAATACACTGCTCTGGGGAGCAGCAGGCATGATAGGAGAGGTCTGCTGTGCCATGTGGGTAGCTCCTATATATATATATACTGGCCTGGGATCGAACTCATGCTGCAGAGGCTGCAGATAGATTCACAGTGCTGTACTTAACCCCTTGCGCCACCAGCGAGGCCCATAGCCAAGTTTTTCTTAACTGAAAGTGATGATCAATAAAATAAATAAGAAAAAAGAATATGCAGCCATCCCCAATCTCTGTTTCCTCATCTCTGGAATGAACATAAAAATGCTAACTGTTGCTGTGTATCCATTGTTTGTTGCTGTGTGTCCATTGTTAGGAGATGGTGAGTGAAAAGAGTATTCACACATGTGAAATGGTGGCTGACGTGATTTTACTGTTACTATGATTTCTTTTAGAAGGACACTTTGCAACCCTGTAAACCTAGTAGTTTTTTATTTTCACTACAAGAATATGTTTTTGAATAGGTATGTAAAACCTGAAAGACAATTTTTTTTAAAAAATGCATAAAGAACTCTCAAGATTCAACTGTCAAACAAAAAATCCAACTAGGAAATGAACTTAGTATATGAACAAACATTTCACTGAAGAAAATATACAGATGACAAATGAGCACATGAAAAGATGTTCACCATAAGCCGATGGGGAAAGGCAAATTAAACCATAATGAGATAGCAGTATATGTTTGTCCAAATAGCTAAAATAAAAAAGTGACAACACTACAAACTAGTGGGGATGTGGAGAAGCTGGATCACTCATCCATTGCTGGTGGGGATGTAACATTTACAGCCACTGAAAGGCATTTGGCAGTTTCTTATATGAAAATAAACTTGCACCCACTATATAACCGAGCAAGTGCACTCCTGGTTATTTACCCAGAGAAACAGCAACTCAATCAGACGCCTGCATACAAATGTTCATAGAGGCTTCATCTGAAAACCGGTAAGTTAGATCTTAAAACCAGTAAGGGATTAATATCTAGAATGTGCAAGAAAATCCAGAACAAAGATGGGTGAATTATACAAAATACAATTTCATAAAAGAAAACCCCAAATTGCTAGAAAGATATCAAGATATGTTAAATCTCATTTGTAATGAGTATAGTGAGAAGCTTTTGAAGTCAATTAGAATGCCAAACTAGAGAGTCTAATGGTATTAAGTATTGGTGAGGTTATGGGTAAAAATGGAAGTGTGTATGTGAAGGGAGTGTGAACTTATAGACATAATTAGGAGAGCAATTTATTAGTACTTAGCAAGATTAAAATTAAAAATACACTTAGATTTAATTTTTGTATATTATATGCTTTAATATATGTTATTTAAAGGTATCTATATATTTTTGTTAGGCAAAGATAGATTGCTCTCCTGTTTGCCTCAACAGAATATATACTCTATATGCATACAGTATGTTTATGCACACCTTATATTCATATCATTTGTAGAAATATATGTAGGTATATATGCTATATAAATATACTTGTATATATGTGCTTGTTCATGTTTGTGTATATGTATCCATACATATTCCATGCAGCTCTCTATTATATATCTACATCCTATTGTCTAATGATCTTATTCCTGAGCATATAGCTGAGAAAAAGTATACTAGGTCTATAGAGAGAAGGCTGTTCAACCCAGTGTTATTCATAGCAGCATGGAGTTCACTTGGGGAAATGGATAAAAAATATCTGGTGGTATATTTTTTCATATGCCTATTGGCCATTTGCATTTCCTCTTTGGGGAAATGTCTTCTGCCCATTTCTTGACTGGATTGTTTACTTTGATTTTGTTGAGTAGTGTGAGCTCTTTGTATATCTTTGTCATCAGTCCCTTATCAGTTGTATGGAGTGCAAAAATTTTTTCCCCATCAGTGGGGTGTCTCTTTGTTTTGGTTAACATTTCTTTTGCTGTACAGAAGCTTTTCAGTTTGATGTCTCTTTTGCTATACAGAAGGTTTTCAGTTTCAATCCCAGGTGTTTATCTTTTCCTTGACTTTCCTTGCTTTGGGTGATGAGTTTTTAAAGATATTACTTGATGTATGTCTTGTAGTGTTTTTATCTATATTTTCTTCTATTTATTTTACGGTTCTAGGTCTTGTGTCCAGTTCTTTTATCCACTTTGAGTTGGTTTTTGTGCATGGTAAGAGGTAGTGGTCTAGTTTCATTCCTTTGCATGTGGTGGTCCAGTTTTCCCAGCACCATATATTGAACAAACTGTCCATGTTCCATTGTATATTCTTTGCTCCATTGTCAAAGATTAGTTGTCCATATAAG